TGGATGTTTTGTATTTATTGGAAAGTACACTCACCTCACCTTTGGCCCGGCTTCACCAGGTGAACCTTCAGAAATTAGAGAATATCGTGACCGACGTATAAACCCATAAACAGGATTACGTGCCTACTTGAACTCTCCCCCATGTTCTCTGCCGCGAAACACCAGAATCATAAGCGCTGTCTAAGCGAGACAGTGCACGCGAGAGCATCAAATAAAGGCAGTTTAAAGGACCGAGTCCAAGTTGTCCGTAAACCCATAAATAGCGCATTATGTATAGCAGGGATAATTCCGACGCCAACGTTGGTCAGAGCGGTAATGTATTTTCAGGTACCGACAACTAATCAGGAGACGAAAAATGAAATCTTTGATTGTTCTGGCGCTCGTGATCTCATCGAGCTTCTCCGAAAACTGCAAAAAGTACTGCTCTGAATGCAAATCCAAGGTCGCGCCAATGAAAAAATTGAGCAACCCAAGAGAGGTAAGGGTTAAATTATTTGTTCATAGTTCACAACACCTTGAGTTGCTTGTTACGATACTGGGGGGAGACAGTCAATTCAATCGTCGGCCAATGAGGTCACGCCACTCACGCGGCGGGCAGCGTCGCGCGCGGCAGTTGGTGCGGCGATTTTTGTTAGACGCTGACGACTGCGTTTCTTGTTGAATGGTGTACTCCTCCCTGTAATTTCACACGAACCCTTTCAGAATCCTCTTGATTTTTCCTGAATTGAGATTCTTTTCTCCAGAGAGCCGTAGTTGAAGCGCGCGCAACCAACTGGGCCCACTCTGGGATGCGCCGTGTGCTTCACATCCCTTCAGATTCGAGGACTCACTTGAAAGATAAAATATCCCTTGGAAAACGTGCGAATTTCGGATTCTTTAACTTGTGTGGTGATAAAACACTGAAGTAACTAAGAATTGCTAAGCGGACACCTCTGAATCACGAAGATTTTGTGTGGGCGGAATCAATTGTTATTGGAAATCCTCTGGCCTGGCATCGATTCGATCCTTGATGTTTGTCCTCCGACGATGATCCTACTGCATCAATCGGCCCGATCTCTTCCTTCCGAAACGACCCCCTCCCCCCTGTGACGTGTCGAGGACTCCTCGACGCGCGATTGACCCTGAATGAGAGTCTAAGACCTGCGATCCCAAGAAACACTTCTGCATCCAAGCTAATTTATTTCTCTGCTGATCGAACAATCGCCTAATCGCGATCGCCTACTCGCCTACTCGCCTACAACGCTCCATGGGCGGAGCAAACCAATCAATACGTATGTAGTCTTCCCACCTAATCGCCTCCGCCTAACCGCCTAATCTATACGTATATCTTTAATTATAGACTAATCGCCTAATCGTGGAAGGGCTGGAACAGTTTTTAAAATAGACAGATCTTTAGTTTGTCCTGCAAGCTCTTACGTTGCATTGAAGTATTTCTCAAGATTGATACAACCTTTTGAAATCCAAAAGTTCACGCTCTGAATAAAATAAGTCCTGATGCTCGAGAAATACATTAGGTTGTCTCATAAATAGTGTCGCTTTTTTTCAACCAAAAAATTTTCATCTAAATCCCCATGCTTTTACATCGTGTCATATACCATTCGAAAGAGAATTGTCTGCTCTACAAGATGTTCCACCTATGTTCCAGGGTTTTCAAATTTTAGGCCTGCGAAATGGGAGGTCCAGCCGACAAAAATTGACCAAACCGACAACTAGCTCTAACTTTATCTTCCCTTGGGAGAAATCAATCAATGATGTACCCTCTACTTATGCATGACCTCTTCTAACATTACACTATTAGGTTTCCCAACAAGTCGCGTCGTTCCATTTCCAGACCTGGTTTTTCAACCAGAACTCGACGGTCGAGCACCATTACCTGAGATCTAGGTCGAAATTTTTTTATAGCCGAGACATTGAAAAACTAGTAGAATTTAAAGAACAAGTCATGACTAAGTTAGGAATGTACGCCTGGTTGATTTTCTCATCTTCTCAGGGATAATTTTTTTCAAAGAAATGCGGTCACTTTCGTGGATAAAGCACCTTATTCCTAAACACCTAAAATTCGAACTAATTCCCAACAAACATAAAACAAAACAAATGAGCGAATAGAGCAGAAGAAGTGCTCACAAAAGGAACACCAGTTGATATGAAACAATGGCGTTTACGAGGAACAATTTTAATTTGAAAATTGCTATGGCTTATCGGTCAGCCAATTCGAAAAGAAACACGGCAAAGCTTTTTCGGCAACCTAAGAGTGGAATGTTCAGAAGAGGTCATGAGTAAGTAGAGGGTACATCATTGATTGATTTCTCCCAGGGAAATAAAGTTAGAGCTAGTTGTCGGTTTGGTCAATTTTTGTCGGCTGGACCTCCCATTTCGCAGGCCTAAAATTTGAAAACCCTGGAACAGAGGTGGAAGAGGAACATAGCATTTTGTAGAGCAGACAATTCTCTTTCGAATGGTATATGAACGATGTAAAAGCATGGGGATTTAGATGAAAATTTTTTGGTTGAAAAAAAGCGACACTATTTATGAGACAACCTAATAGTTGACGGGACGACATTTCGGAGATATGAGCTTTTCAATCACATTTCCCAATTCTCCGTATGCTCATATCACTCAATAACTTTTATCCTATGCCAGAGTGGAACTTAGCCACCTGGAAGGGTAATGTGGTTGTTTATTTACTTATCTTCAATGAATACATTTCTGTTTTCCCCTTGTATTTTCGTTTTTTTTCTTGCTTTTTTTGGTTGTACAGATTCTCCATGATCACTCCATCTTGTTACCCTTATTTGTGGCCACCCTGTATGATATGTGTGTGCGGACTGATCAGTGCTCCAGCCAATTCTTCAATCGTTTATGAACCAACATGATTTCCTTGAGAATTTACACACAACCATTTCGTGGAATAGTCGCAAAAAGGGGCATTTTTGCAGGCTCTCGCACAATATATGTGCGAAGATGGTCCTGAAGATTGTGATGGAATGTGCTACCGTCCTTTCATAGATGTGCTCGTTTATATGTTGCAAGTTGGTTTCCTCGCTTTGAAAATATCTATAGTATATAAATGTAAAAATAAGTCACCTAAGCATGTTGATTGTCCACCTTTCCAAATCTGAAGTTGGCAGAAGGAGGATGGACGGGTTCTGAATTCCCTTGACACCTGCTGTTGAACTAATACAATAGATATTGTGTCGGTATTTGTATTAGGTTGTCCGGAAATTAATGCCGGTTTCAGAAATTAATGCCGGTTTCAATGTCTCATACTTTATTTGATATTTTTCCGAGAAATTTCCATACGATTGCTGTACTATTGCATATCGTTGGAAAGCCCATTTCATTCTCTTTCTTGCACGGCCATTGTATTTTGATGGGACTCGGGCCTCACTTTTTTTAAAGGTTTGAAGTGAAGGCGTCAAAGTAGTGGTTTGAGCAGGTTCACTTCTATGAGTTGAAATTTGGAGAGGGTGCTGTGCGGACAGCTCGGAATAGGATTGCTGTGTGGGGCTAAGGATGTTGCAATAAAAGCACACTGCTTCGATGGCTCCGAAGCTTTCAAGTTAGGGAAATCTAGATTCGAAGTGAGGGGGTTACGGACGACATTCTCCTCTTGACGGCGGCCTTCTGAAGACCCGGCAGAAGAAGATTTCCAAACAAGTGTACGGCAGCCAGCAGCATAACCTTGAGCAAGCATACTGAAATTTTCGGAGCGCCTGAAGGTACTTGGGAAGGTAAGAAAGCTGGACAAGTGGGTACCGCATGAACTGACTGAGCAGCAGCAAAGTCACCTTGCAGGGATCTTGGCACAACTTTTTTTACTCAACAAAAATGTCCGACTCTGGAACTTTTCGTCATCCTCGACGGAAATAGGACCCTTCGCTATAGAATAGAGCAATTTTCCAAAAATCTAAACAACTACGAACATCAAAAACTTTTTCCAAAGTAGAATTTCTACAAGGTGAGGACCATGCTGATGGTTTCGTGGCCTTCCGGAGTAATGATGCATCGCAGCTTTCTGAACCCAGGTGATTTTGGTAGAGCATCAATGTCTGTCCATAACATCGATATAATGCTCCGTAAAGAGCAAGGCCTCTAACCAGAAGAAGGAAAAGAACTGTTCTCCATGTTGACGCCCAGCCACATGTCGCACAAAGGTCTTCGTAAGAAAGGGATAAATCAACCTATCCAGCTTTGCTTCTTACAGTGCATTCGCAGGATCTCACCCTCACCAACCTCCTGTTTTCCGGCAATCTCGACAGCTTCTTGGGGAGAAAAAGATTTGAAAACCGAGACATGATGGAAAAGACCTTGGCCGATATTTGAGCTTCAATTGTTCCTGTATCTCAAGTTCGTTGATCAAACCAGTCTGAGATATGTTGCTTTGAAGACGGAGGTCAAAACCGGCATTAATTTCCGGACAACCTAATATTAGGAACATGTTGACCATTTCCGGAACTATTCTAAGGGAATCGAGTCTTTCAGGTTTGCAGCTTTACCATTAGAGATTGCCCATTGCCTTAGTTGTTGTGAACCCATTGGTGCCTAATAACCTGATGAGATGATGACAAACTCAAAAAAAGAGTCCACAGCTATCACAAAGTATCCGCTAAAGCTACGCATGAACGCTCTAGCACATTCTATCATAAATAGAGTCAACAATGAAGGGTATCTAACAAGCAGAATTTTAAAACACCTTTCAAGGGATATATATTGGCATATTTTCAGGAACAAGGCGCTAGTGAAGAAGAAGCTTGCCGATTTGCTGCGTTTTGCTAGATATTCCATTCAAATGTGTTTTCTCAATTGTGCAGCAAAGATTAATCGCTGAATAAAACTTTGGCGCGAGTGTC